GCACAGCGCTGCGTGCTCTCGGGGGCTCTCGGGGTGCAGCCAAACCTGGCATGGCTTTCAGTTTCTGCAGCTGGGGGAAAGGAGGGGAAAGAAAGGAAAGGGTTGTTTCTCTAGGATGCTGGCTAGCTGTTTAACAAAGTTTGCAGGTTTGGGATCATTTTGTTTTTCTGGGTCTCTCCTCTGGTACGCTCAAGCAATACGCATAGTTTGACACTCGCGAGCTGCGAACAACTGTTCGAGCACTTTGGGGGGAAGTTTGGTACAAAGCTTTAGGAACACGAGGCCAAGCAGGAAGGGCCAGTTTAGACCGCAACTCTCCTGCCAAGTGAAATTTTAAAGGGACACGAATAGCCCTCGGATTCCTCAGGGACAGATAACTGAGAAGCCTGGAGAGCCCTGCTCTGGTACAGTATTCATGCAAAAGGCTCCCCTGTGGGCATCCAGCCAGAGCCCAGGCCGCTCACCCTGCCAGACATCCCTGCAAGATACAATAACCTCCCTTTGCTAAGGGAAACCTTAGGGAATCTGATACTGTTATCAGCTTTCTTTTTTTGTTTGTTTTAAAGAAAAGGTATTTCCAACTTAAGAGAATTAAAAGCTGCGGATGCTTCACATAGCCCAGCAGTCTACTGCATGGGATAATGAACATTTCTTTATGATACAGGATTTTCAAGAATGCCCAAATCTCCAGTCAACATCCATATCAAAGGGGTAGCAATCCAAAAAGTCCCTGGCTAAACAGGTCAGGGCTTGCCCACAGAAAATGCAAAACGCTTTTTTAAGGGAAGTACAAAGACTAGCTACAAAGCTGGTGTCTATCTGCAAACTATACGAGTTACATACCCACACAGCGGGCCAGTGAGAAGAAACTCTAAGCTGATTAAATTAACCATCACCAAAATGCTCCAGCAAGGCAGAGTTACCTGCATGGTACAGTGATTTTTGCTTTGATCTCCAGGAAACGTCTGTTTATTCAAAAGCCCATTTGCTATAGCAACCACGGTTTATAGAAAAGGAGGGAGGGGGAAGAGAATTCCCCGGTGCTTCACTAGAAAAGTTGTGCCACCACCGGCAGAGTCTTGCGGTTAAATACGTGGGGCCCAATGACATCTCAACTAATTTCCAGAGAACCCTGCAGGGCTCGATGCTGGAGCATCTCGCCAGGCTCCTGCAGGAGGGATCCTGGGTTTCCTGCAGCCCCCGCAGTGTGTTGGGTTGTCTGGTGGAGATGACCACCATCCTCTGGGAGCAGAGATCTCCCACAGGAAAGTTGGAGTTCATCACTCCAAACGAGACTCCCCTCCCCGGTCATCTTATCGCTCCTCTGTCTGCGAGAGGAGACACTCAGAAGCAGCAGAAAGATTCAGAAGCAAGAGATCAAAAGTTCGTCCCTTCCTTTGAGGTTTCAGCCTTTTTGTGTTGTTTTGGAAGGTGGAAAAAAAAAAAACCAACCAACCAAACAAAAACCAACTACATAGCCCTCAAGAGGGACACAACACACAAGGTCTGTTGTTTTTCTTTCCCTTGTACTAATAATTATCAGTGCAGATTCCAAGCATTCAAAAGCCATACCTTAGTCCCATTCCTCAGCCACACAATAGCTTTAAAAGGTCTGTTTTTAAAGTTGCATGTATATTGGGTGAGGAGGATTTGCCTTTGTGTTTCCAAGTCCTATAGCGCACTTCAGGAAAAGAGACTTTAAAATGTGGCCCAGCCACAAGGACTCAAACCAGACTTTTTTTTTTAATAGCATGAGATTCTCAGCTTTCATTTGGTGCCCCCATTTCCAGCAGCTGGGATTTATGCAAAAGAACATCAAATGCCACAGGGCTTATAATAAAAATAAAATAAAATCATGAAAGCTCCCACCACCACAGTTTTGCAAGCCTCTCTGGGCTGTTTTCAACCAGCACAAGACTGCTTGGCCTCTGCCACAACCAAAGAAAAGAAGGTGGAGGGGAAATGGAACGAGATAGCAACTGCTGGTAAGGGCACACCATCTCTGCAGTGTATTTATATGGCGAGGAAGTTCATGCTGGTTGCTATCATCTCACCAGTTATATTCCTGGGGACTCACTGGGGTCTTCCAAGCCCTTGCCTGCAGCTCGCAGCGGGCTTCTGCTCTGTCCCTTGTGAGAACTGGGTTCTCCTCCTCCTTCAGCTTGACGCCGATCAGGTATAAAAGCAAGAGGAATTTTCTGGCTTATGCTTTCATTTCAGCGCTATGGATTTCCAAGCAGCTGCTGTAGGATAAGCCACTTCCCTTTGCACAGAAAGGTTTTTTGCTCCATAAATATTGCATGTCACCTTCTGGTTACTGAAGCACAAAGCCAAACCCTGGCAGAGAGGAGCCACGGGGACCTAATGCAGTTTGCAGGGACAAGGAAGCTTCTGCAGCAGCAGCCACCACTGAAGGCCAGGTTTCCTCACATATTTTCCTTGTTAGTTCAAGAGTCAGAGAACAGTCAACAGACTGATTTAGCAAGAGCCCTTCTCACCACTGAGCCCCTCTCAGCGCTGCCAGCTGAGACTGCTTGTGGCACAGACCGCGCCATAAATTAGAATAGAGCGCAAGAGCTCCTGCCATCCAGGAGGTCGGGCACGTCTGGACCCCTTGCCAGCTTGTCTGCGTGCTCCCACTGCTGCCCCTTTCTCACTTTGAACATTGTCTTCCACGCTGGGCTGCGAAGACAAGGAAACCACAGCGGATCACCGACCAGACACGCACCCACAGCGGTTTTACCCGAAGCCTGAGCCACCTGAAGCCAAAAGCGCAGCAGAGTCCATGCACCCATCGTACAAATGGACCATTTGCAAATGGTCCGGCAAAATGCTGGCTAAAACAAACACACAGACAGAAGTGGGGATGGGATATGGGACAAGACAATGAAAGCTGGTGTTTATATTTGGATGCAAATTTTCCCCAGCAGCGCTGGTGACCGAGAAGCGGAAGCCTTTGACTTTAGGGAAAACCTGGTAGTGACTAGAACCCTTCGAGAAGCATAACAGCCTGGCTTATTTACTTCCCTCAAAGCCAGTAAAACACTAGAGCATTAATAAGAACAGCCTGAGCAATGAAATGCAAATGCCACTCAAATAATTAAATAAAGAGAACGATCCTCCTCCCAAAACAATGGATGGGGCCGTAACGTCTACCCTCACGGGACAGCCTCATACAGGACGCTCTTGTTCCAGTAGCTTCAAAGAGGCTGTTTAATTTTAGTAGGTCGGCAAGCATATGACATTACAAAGCACTTCTCAGACAAAAGCAGAGCCAAGGAGCTCTGCAATCCATTTTCCCTACAGGAAGGAAGGCAAAGCTTCCTATTGCGGGGAGGAGGTGGAAGGGGAAAGGGGAGGGGGCTGACATTTTAGAGAGAACGAACAAGGCCAACGTATAAAATTCAGGCAGACCAGGCACAGAGCAGGGAGGTAAAAACAGCACAACAGGGTGGAATATAAACCAGCCCCATCTCTTGCCCAAGCTCGGTGTATGTTTGCCTTTTTAATTTTGCTGAGATTAGCCTTGCTGCAGTTGCAATCTGTCCAAATCTCAAGTCCTCTCCTAGGAGAGATGTTTGCCTTTCACTTCCCTAGAAAGGCACATATTTACTTTGTTCTTTAACGTACCCAGGGCTCTGCATCACGATTAGCGGCCATCCAAATACCAAATCTCTGGGCAACTCGCAGCAAGAAGACGGACAGAAGGAAGCGCTCGGCACTGGGCACCGCAGCCCTCTGAGCGGGGTGTCGCAGAGAAGTCAGGGGCTTTATCGATGGATTTTTAAATAAGGACACCAACGCATGCTGACATTGCAAAAGGTGCTTGCTGAATAAGCACACGTTGCCCAATGAAACAGTACCTCTCCCACATTGCTTAACTGAGGAATGAACTAGACATGGATTGCGTTATTCCAGCGACAGCCCCGCAGCTCAGCCTGCGCTCAGGCCTTGGCTCCCTTGGCAAAACAAGCAGGGACCGACAGATCTGACAGCTCAGCTCACACAACTGCAAATCTCAAAAGCTGAGATGTCTTTTTTTAACTCTAGTAAGTACGCTGGGAGGTCATGAAGGTATCTGAAGCATTAAAAAGAAGAAGAAAAAAGTAACAGAGCTGCTGAACGCACCCTTGACACTCTCCTGACCTGTCCGTAGTTATAAGAAGGAGCAGATGAACTTGCCAAGAGATGGGTTTCATGAGTTTCACCCGATTTCCACCATCCTGACACAGGCACACAGTTATTGGAGTCTAGCACAGGGCAAGTACACAAGGGTGCGTGCCCTCACCCTCTCCAGCTCCTTGCACTTTTGCCGTGGCAGCACCCAGGAAGGTGCCTTTCATGCTGACCTTCCTCTGCTTCCAGGGACTCAAAGAAAACAGCAGGCAGGGGGAAAAAAACCGAACAAAAAAAAAAAGCAGCCTGCTGGACTAGGGGAAAGAGATGCAGGAACCTGCTGTTCCAGCCGCAGCACAACTAGCTGTTGCACTAACCCGCTGGATTGCATTTTATGTCCCTGTGCCTCCACAGCCATGGGAAATGGAGCTCTTGCTATCAGTTGCCTCTGTGTTACAGATGCTGAGCCAGAAATAAGGCACAAATCAAAAAGCCAGGCTTAGCCTTCCATCTGATCTTTCAAAAGAGGGACTAAGTGGGGAAGAGATGCCCTTATCCGGTGCTGCATTTTCTACATTTACAAACTCCAAATGGTGAAAAAAACCCAACAACTCCAGTTTTCACTTTACAGTGAAGTTCTCTTGATCTTCTCTGGGCTATTTATAAGCAGCTTTAGTTAGAAGATAGTTTGCTCATCGAAGAAAGCGGGGAAAATCCATGCACTGTTCATGCAGTGAGTAGAGCACAGCTTGTGAGTCATTTTTAACTCACACTGATTTTTCAAGCTGCCCCAGAGGTTTTGCTTCACCGTAACTTAGCCATTTCCTCTCTGCAGAGAGAGACACACGCAGCTACACAGGTCACACACAGCAACAGCCTCTTACCCAGAGCTTGCCATCCCAATAAAACGCTCCCAGCAGCTTGACAATGTGCCGGTGATTGCAGGTCGCCAGTATTTCAATCTCCACCATGTAATCTTCCAGTTCATCTTCGCTCTTTGTTTCAATGACTTTGGCAGCTGCTAAAGCACCGGTTTCCTTATTCTTAGCCTGCAAGACAAAACCAGCATGAGTACAAAGGCGAGGAGAGCCAGGAGCACACAGTACTTGCACAATTCCTGCTCCTCCAATTCACCCTCAGCTTCACTGGTACCAGCTACAACACAAGCATGGAAACTTGCAGATGCATTTCTTCTTCCTAAACCTGCCCGTAGCGTCACAGAGAGGATGAATGCTGTGTAAGGGCCAAAGCATCCTCCTTCCTCCCTCCAGTCTCTACCACCCACACCGCTTCCCATCGTGGGGAGAAAGAGGCTTTTAGAAAAGGAGATGCGTCCTATTGTCTGTAGCATGAAAAAGATGGAAGCAAGAAAACCTCAGAGTATGGAGGCTCTCTGCTAATTGTATAGGCGATAACTCCATTTAATAGAAGTCCTGAGTACACAGACAATCCAACCAAATTCACAGTACAGCTGTGACCCATCTCCACCCTGAACATCCCTACACTCCCCTTCCTCATCAGGACCCTCACCAGGGCACTCTTCTGTAACACACAATGGAAATGTAGGGATCACCTCATTGGTAGGTAAACCAAGAAGGGTGCATTTTGATTTCCCAGGACTGGCTGGTATTCCTGGTGTTGCATGTCAGTGAGCTCTTCAGATCACAGTAAGAAAAATACTACACATGCTCTCCCGGCTGTCCCCTCCATTTTATATAGTCCCTTTAACCAGCTTATTCACCAAGTAACCAGAAAAACATCAAAACCTCCTTGCCCTAGTGGTTGGAAAACTTTTGCTGACTTTCCCTCCCCATTCCTCACAACAACACAGGAGCATACCCTTGGGTTAGCAGCTTGCTGACCTCCTTCCCACCAAACACCCTTCCCCAAGCAGCACTCACTGCCTAGGAGGGGGTCACCGATAGCTGCACGGGGGCTGCTCTGCTTGTAGGTGCCACACACCAGCAAAAGACTATTAATGGTGGACTGGAAGCATTTGCAGACATGGTTCTTCTCACCCCACTCCTCTTGTGCCCCCATCCTGCATGGGGAAAAAGGCAGCTGAGGAAAGGCTTGGCTAAAAGCAAACATCTGTAAGCAGGCAGTGCCAGGCGAGCCTCAGAGCTGCTCCCACGCAGGACCCTTTCAGCATCATCCACGCAGGACCGTCCGTTAGCTTCGCCCAAAACTGCCAGGACAAGTCTGCATTTTGCAATTGGAAATTTGCACAAATTGTTGCAAGAATTACAAGTCTGCAGCAAAATGCCAAAAGGGCAGTTGCGCGACAGTCTGCACACCGGGCTTCGCTGTGAGACGTGTCACACGCGAGACGGGAGCTCTTGACTCGGGAGCTCCCCGCCATTCCCAGAAGCGCATCGAATCAGCAGATCAAGGGACAGAAGAAATCCCTATAGCTCACCCGCTCTGCTCCCCGCTGATGGAGGAGAGCCCCCACAGTGTGATTCCAGTCCATTACCCATTTTCCTTCCATCACACCCACTCCGGGCTGCCCCTACCCCGGGGGAGAAAGTCCCACTGTGGATATTATCCCCAGAGGAGCTGGGCAAACTCCAGTTGTGACCTTTCTTATTGCTTTGCAGTTTACACATCTGTGTTTGGAAGACCTATGCAGGAGCTTACAGGAGGATTAGTTCCCAGTATAAACACCACAAGCCCTGCTGAACAGTTTTATATAGCTTAGGTGATAGTATAACTGTGTACCAAGGAACAGGCTGGGGAGGGGGGGTAAGGAATAAGGGGAAAAGCATACAATGAAGGGAGGAAAATAAGGGACCCCTGAGTCTCTGCTGGGTTTTGAAGACTTGCTGCATTCGCATGAGTTGGCATGGACAGCTGTGTCTTTACCACGGGGGACAAATCCATTTCTATCTGGGCTCACTGCCCAAACGCAAGACAGCAGCTCACGCTGGTTTCAGAAGAAATTAGGGGTTTTCCTTTGCTCAGGTTGGTTTGTTTCTTACCGAATTGCCACCGGATGCCCAGAGAAGGGCACGCAGAGGGGGGCAGGGGGAGATGCGGGGTGGAGCGAGCCCCGGGAAAAGCACAGCGCTTCCGAAACGGAGCAAGAAGTGCCCCACTATGTTTGCTCTGCACTTATGGCGTTGGGAGAGGTCCAAGGAGGGGAAGTAAATATTGTGAGAGGAGGTGGGGCTTCCCTTGGAGGTCAGCCATTGCACGCTTCCCACCGGCAGGGTCCCGGCCAGCTCAGCTCTTCTGGGATGCTGAAAAAACCCAGGAGCAGAGCGTGCCCTGGTCCCCCACAGCATCATCTCCCACTGAGAGGTCCGAACCAACCTGCCCTCACCCCCAAGCCTCGGGGGAGCCACCCCAGCAGCCACGCTGTCACCTCTCATCCCCTCCTGGGCTTGCTAAGGCATGCAGGGGTGCTGGATGCTGAGCTGGAGGCCACGGTTTTGCAAACAGGGCTGCGAGCTGTGGGTGGGGGAGCGACTGCAGCCCACGTGTTCACTGTGGCAGCCTGAACTCATTCATCATTACTCCTACAGCTAGCAGGTGAGCAGCCCAGCAACCCCCAGCAATTGCTTCCCTTCTAGGTAGGAGCCCATGTCTAACGTTCAGTCTTTAAAGATGTCTGGAACAGAATTAGCTGCTGCCTTTCTCCACCACTTTGGACTGTCCTGACGAGCGTATTTCCCCAGCTATCTCCATCTCCTCATCCATTCTAGTGGGGGACGCAGCTCGGGGAGGGAGGGAGGGGATCCCATGAGCTGCATGAGGTGGGCTTCCACCCCAAAGGGAGAGGAGCACTGCTGTCCCACATCCCCCCAGGCCAGGGGTCCCTGGGAGGTCACACTGCTCGGTCACACCAGCGGAAGCGAGACCACCATCTCCAAGGAGAAGTCAGTTCAGGACATCATGAACTCACGATGCAAGAACGTGAGCTTTTGCAACAGCAAGCTCTCGCGGGTAGGGATGCCGAGGGGATGGTGTGGGCACGAACCCCGTACTTTCCGTGGCCCTGCCATAACGTCACCGCTACAAGCGAGTGCACTCACGGCACTTCCCAGAAGGGACCAAAACGCCCCACAGCCCCATGGGACGGCAGAAGCATCTGAAGCAGAAAGGGCACCCGAGACCATGAGGTCAGTAGGAGATTTTGGAAAACTGATCTCCTCCAGCATGGCCCACTGCAGTGTGGAGAGGAGGCTGGTTGCCCCGCACGGCTGCCTTTGAGAGGACCAACACTCATACAGGCTGATCCCCTCCTGAGTTGTCCATGGCCCCACGGAGCCCAAACCCAGTTTGTAGTGTTTCAGCCATACCAGATGGAGAGAGACCACATCAACTGATGTGGGCACTCCTGAACTAAGCTCAGCAAGTCACGTTTGTCATTGCAAGAGCTTTGGAAATCCAAGGAGCTTCTGCTCATTTCTCCACCTTTCCTTTCTCTCCATCTGCTTGTCCTCCAGTCCTGACGCCACACAGCCACGTTCCCGGCAGCCTCCTTGGGAACGGCAGCTGCCTGTCATCAGGCAGCCGGCTGCATCGCAGCCCCTTGCAGCAGCCAGCCAGCTCCGAAAGCTGTTCGCAGCAAGCCAGATTCATACAGGCAGCGTCAGATTTTGGCCAACTACACCAGGCGGTCTCTCTGTAACTCACGTCTGGCAATTTCCTTCAGCTTCTCTGCTGGTATTTTCCTGCACACAATGCATTACAACAGAGATATTCTTCCAGGAAGGTTTGTTTGGATCCTAAATAGGCCAAATGCATACGTTGCCAGCCCTGGGAGCTGGTTTCAGACATCCCAGGCATGAGATGATGCTTTAGGGTTTAAAGCCCTTTCCTGATTCCTGCTTTGTGCCATAGATCAGAATCTGCTCAGAGACATTAGCACAAAGCAAAACAGAGCCTACTCTGACCTCAAAAAGCCAAGGTAGCAATTAGGCAGAAGGAACTGGCATCTCCAAGTCTGTAACCTGCACGCCTGGACGATACCCCTCACGGCAAGGGGACACACAGCACCAGGCTGAGAAGAGCATCTGCTGCTCGCTCTCCAAGAGCTGTGGGATGGAAGAAAAGGGTTCCCACCAACCTCTCTGCAGCTTCGCCTCTACCTTGAGCTTCACTGGGGGTCATGCCCTCACCTTACAGCAAGGGAAATGAAAACTTTTCTCATGGTAGGTGTTTTGTTTGTCTTTAAATCCCAAAGAAAGGAAGAGACAATGATATGGAGGAAAAAAGAAAACCAAGAACTATCAAGAAAGCACCCTAGGATGACTCACCAATAGGGGGTTTGTTAGACAGCCACATCATTTGACATGAAATCCTCCAAAATACAGTTTGAACTACAAATCCAAAGTCTTCTGCAAACCCCAGCCTAATTACAGGATCTCCAACGCAGCAAAAGTCCACATAGAGAATGCAGAGATGGGGAGAGAGCTTCTGTTTCCAGGTAAAACACCCCTAAATGTGCAGCCTTTGAGGAATTCATGGTATTTCCTATTTTTTGCAGTGAAATTTGTGGACAAAAGTGAAAGAACCACCCAGATGGTAATATCCCAGGAACAGAAGCTGTTTGATGCCAGTCTATGGCATATGGCTGGTCAGTCAAAAGCACACATCCAGTTCCATCTTTTGGCTCCTCCACTCCTGGGCATTTTAATGCCATAGATAATTTGTCCCTGGAGTGCTAATTAGTACCAAAAAAGTAAAGCAGACAGCTGCCAGCATAGCGCCCAGGATGTGCTGCTGAACTGTAGTTAGATTCATTTACAGTCTTGGCATTTAAAACCTGAAAAGCCCTTATGGCCACTACCAGCCTTTGTGCAAATCAACACACCGCACAGACCACGGCTGACAAGTCTATGCAGAAACAGGAATGGAACATGCATTCCACAAAAGAAAACATATCAAATAAAAGTTATCCAGTAAACCACTTCCAGAAAGCCATACCAGGAGCCAAGCGGGAGCCAAAGGAAAGGATCTCGCTAGAGTCCTCTGGAGCAAGATGGGTGCTGGACACACTACTGCCAAATACACTGGGAATATTGGGGAATAGGGGATGAGT